ATCTGCGTTCTGCAGCCCCTGGCCCGTACGATAAAATGCATCATACAAATCCAGGCGCAGGACGACGGAGTCAAAAACATTGCCTCCTTCTTCCATTCCCTCTATTTGATAAAAACCTACTCCGACAAAACACTTGATAATACCTCGCAGTACCTGTTCGAGGTTAGAACAAGCTGCAGGTCCACCACCAACAAAATGTCGGACTCCCATCGCCACCCATCGTCACCCACCGCGACGGAGACATCAAATCACCTCAAAAAGCAATCAAAAACATACAACACCAGGTATTCGCTGGTCGTCACCGACCCAACTACTAATCCGGCCCTCATTGGCTTATCTATGGGAGAGCGGACGGGATCCCGAGTTTTCCAATGGGTATGGTCGTATGTAGCAGATGATGAAGCCAAAGTTGACTATATTTCACGATGGAACAGCAGCCACCCATCACGAGTTTTGCCAAGACTTGAGAGAAACGCCTTCTTGTAGGTGCTTCATCATTTTTACTGCTTATGTTTCACTGTTTTATCTTATTCTTCAAGAATTGGGTTGAGTATGTGGCTCATATCAAGGTGGTCTGGCTTGTCAGTCCAGACAGATCATGGCCCACGCCACGTCTCTAGACCTACGTGACCTTATTTTGTGCCAGTTCCAGAGCGAGTTAGTCTGAAGTGAATGCACCGTCAATAGCAAGTGCGCTGAAAAGGACGAGATGTTTCTGGAGAGATGCATCTTGCTCATGTTGCTTTCTCCATAATGCGGGAGAATGTTGGGAAGTCTTGGATAACAGTGTAGTGGCAAGACAGACCACGAGCATGATTCAAAAGAGTCATAGAGAAACTAGCACGCCCCTGATGCATCGATGTATGATGTCTCAGTGAGATTATGATATAAAGTAGAACGACGTAATTTGCCGTATGCTAATCAGCTAGATTCCATCCATACTCATGGGGTCTTACACGACCTACACTGGGCACGTGGTTCTCAATAATACGAACCAATTGCAGCGATTTCAACTAGATAGAAAGTACTCAAGTCTTGCTTGTCTTCATTGTCTTGAGATAATCCTCATTGCCAAGGCATGCTCCGGTACATTGCATATAGACTAACCATGTCGATTGCTCCGGTTGCCGATATGTCGTTACCTACCCCTAACCGCCATGCCCAGTGAACGATGTCACCTCAATATCCGAGACGACGAAGTAGTAATCTAGTCGAACAACCGTGGGTTCCGTGCAAATCGCAAATGTCCGCAAATGAGTTCCAAGCAAGATCCAAACCCAACTCGGTGGCGGCTGTCCTACCTAATTTCACGTGGCCCCCGAGGACAAAAGAGGCGCTCCTGTGTATGGTGTACCCCTAGCCTTGCCAAGTGGGTAGCACGATAGGTTGCTGGTCCACGGTACCTTCACTCTACTTCTGGAATTTCCATGACTGCTACTGCCACTGCTACTATTCTCATGTTATGTTTCCTGCATATCCCGTAGAGCATGCGCCTCAGAGAGCATATGATGATGCCAATGAGAATGCTAGTGGTACTAAGCAGACGGCCACGTGTGTGGACCGGCATCCTATTCCGCCTCCCACTTGCTTGCTTCCCCGATCTGCCCGCTGGTATGTGCTCAGATCTTGCAAGCCTCCATGTCTGGCTGGATACTTTAAATCTCCTGGCACTGGGGTAATATCGTATGATCTTGAAAAAACCGGAATTCGGTCGTTGAATTCCTTGTTAAAATGCGTCGTCCCATTTCGATAAGGGAAAAGATCAGCAAAAGTCCATCTCCAACTTCCAAGACTCCAACGTGTGAAGAGGAAACCCCACTTGCTCCGACATCAGCTTTCTTGTACCGTGTACTCTGTACTCCGTAATCCGTACGTGGATGGGCAATCCCGAGTCCTGACAGGTCGGTAAAACTTGCAAAGTTGCATTCGACGGATGATTTTCCAGAATCGGTTTGATAGAGGCGGTTGGTCGCCTTTGTGGGTGGTATCTGCCAATCTGGATCGTTGATCGTCCCTGCATGGTGGCCCCAGACTCCCGAACCCCCGTGATGCGTCAATGGAAGAGGCTTCACCATCGAAGGGCGGAGTGAAGGACGCTGGTTGCATGGACATGGAGAACAAATGGCGAACTTCAAATTAGATGTTGCAAATAACTCTGTCATGATTGTTGACGCTATGGCATCGCTGGACCTCACTGGCGACCAACTTAGACAAACCCGAGTCAAGAACGCCTGAGATGTCACGCCGGGTAGTATTGAATCGAGTCATTCCATCTAGCCAAGTTCAGGATTCCAAGATATCAAGGTTAGACAGACTACTCCGTACTACTTTCTGGATCTAATGTACCGTCTAAGCAATTTGCTCGCGTCTTTCACCGCAACGCAGCAAATTCACTTTTGTTAAGCGCCAACAAGAACAGACGCGCGAAACGCATAGGCAATGAGTCCAATTCTGTAGCACTCATTGAAGAAAAACAAAAAAAAAAAACGCCACAGACGCCGGCCGGCGCTCTGGATTTCGGGTCTCAACACGGCCCCCCCGTCCCGAGGCTCCCCGCCTGAGTAGCTTAGACCTCACCCCCCACAACGCTTGAACCCATATCCGTGCGCGCCGCGCCATCACCACCGGCCGGCACAGGGCAGCCCTATATGTGGCGGATCATTAAGACGAGCCTCAGCTATCCGTACGAATGCCCCCTTCTCTCCTGCAATAGCCGAGATATACACTTTCGGTCAGGTAGTCAAGCCAAGCCAAGCCGAAGCTGATTCGACGACACCCGAACGAAGAGATAACGGCCCGCGGGCTCCTTGCTGAACCAGTATCAGGTTTCGCATGCCATCCCATTTCATATCCCGGGGACCTTCATCTTCGTTCTGACATGATTACGCCTTTGTGCCATCGTATCCCTTTCCAGACGTACGTATTCGTACGCCTAACGATTAATGCATCCCCAGTCACCGGTATTGTACGGATTAGGTACAGACAAACAAGCATTTGGGAGGCTACGCCCCTCTCTCTCTCTCTCTCAGCTCTTCCGTGCCCATGCCTGCCCACCTGTTGTACAAATTCCGTTACCCCCTTGCCTCATATTCAACAAACAAACAATACCGCAAATGTCTTTGTCGACCCCAAGCGTAAAAAGGAGAAGATGTCCGCAGGCGAGACGGTGAATTGGCATCTACTGCGTACAGAAGAGAGGACAAACCCCATTCATACCCAAGTACGCATTCGTACACTCGTAAACCTGGTAGCACCGCCAGGACCGGTCAGATTCCCAATCAGGAAATCAAGCCCACAACCTAGTGAGTTCGTTGCCCACGCCCAAAATGGTCTCGAACACTGATGGTGAAATCCAAAACAAATGCCCACATTCCTCCCCGCCAGGAAGTGTGACGACCCGACGAATGGAGATCTCTCTGACATGTCAAGTCGAGAGTAGAGAGACGTGAAAAAACAAAACGAAACGAAGCGAAGCTACGGACAATTAATTAGACTTGCGTCAAAGTCAGGGCTGGCGGGCCATTTTTCTTATGGAGGTAGCTGTCATGCTGGCGGTTCATGCCCTCGTGCTACCTACCCCCATCCGGGACGGACTCATGGAATGGAAGCGAATACCTGCCATTGTTTCGGGTTGAATCAGAATTGGGACCTGTCCTGCGTAAAAAGTCACTTGCCCCGCCCAAGTATATCTACCTTAGGTACCTCACGTATCGCCAAACTCTTGTACCTATCCTGAATTACTGGCTGCCTTCCCGCGTGTGTATCGCTCCTGGCAACGGTTCTCTTCATTGCCTCGTTGCTTTTTCCACGTTGAGAGCAGGTAAGCTAAATACCCCAAAAAAGAATAAAATAAAAAAGCAGCAACCCGTAGCTGAAGTCAGTGCGGATGAACGTCGATTCAACAAAGGAGCCGGACGCTGAATCGACTGGACCAATGCCAACGACGCGGTTGAGCGCCCCCGTGTGGCACACACTCATCCAGTCACCCGGTTTCGAGACGCACTGTCCCCAACCCGATCCGCGCGTACAAAAACAAAACACCAAACCAACAAAAAAAAGACGTCAATCATCCCCAATCGTCCCATTATCCAACACCATGTTCGCCCAGACAGAACTTGAGAAAATCCGCACCTATACAGGCTTAGACTTGCCTCGGGTGTGCATCTTGACCTTGACCAGATCGGAATGGGAAGCCAGGCACAAAACCCACCCCCAACGCACCCAACATTGTGGGAATCAAGAAAAAAGGGAGCGAAACTCTGATTACCGACGTCGACGCAACCTCGAGGTCCGGGCACCCGGCACGGGCAATGGCCCATGGCCACCCAAGGCGGCGGGCGACGGGCGGAAGGGCGGCGGCGGACGGGGCTCACCCGGCAGCCAGGCCCCACCGGGACGAAAAAGAGGGCGGGCCATGATTACCCATTACCACTGAGGGAAAAAAAAAAAAAAAAAGAAGACAGACGCCCGGGCACCGCACCTAAGGAAGCAAAAAAAAAAAAAAAAAAAAACGAAAGAAAAGCCAAGATTCTCCACTCCTCATCTCCATCGCCGAGGGGATGCTAATCTCCCGCCCCGAGCTTAATCCAGCTCTGCTATACCATCGTCATCCCTTCTCAGCGTTAGTGCAGCTCCCTCCCACCCAAGTGATGAAGTTTGGCCGCGCGCCGTGTCAACCCACTGCCTAGTGGCCTAGGTAGGTAATGCAACGTCCGAAGTTGGTGAGTGACTTTTCATCACACTTTCTCAATCTTCCTTTCCCATTTTCCTGGCCTTTGGCCATTTCCGGCCGGCAAGGGGGGTCAAGCCACGAAATGGCGAGAGAGTGAGAGAGGAGAGGAGGGGTAATGCCTAGGATAACTCGGTGCAGGGCGTCATCTAATTACCCTGGTTCCCGGCCCCCTTCCCAAATCACCCCTCCGGGCTTCCCACACCCCCAACACGCGATAATCAAACAAGCGAGATAAGGTATCAATCTCCAAGGGGTTGAAACACGTCTGTCCGTCTCTGCAAAAATGCGTCTTGTCTTGTTTTTGTCTTTTCTGCAGGGTATCATGATACATGTAAGATTGCCCAAAAGAAGCCAGCCCTAGATTTCAAGAAGCCAACAAGAGTGAAGATATTGCCAAAGTCCACCCTTCCATTTCGAGAAAAACTTGTCCAAATCGAGAAGTTGAAAAATGAAATAACTCCAACCTGAGTCTTAATGCTCTCACCAAACCCCCTTGATGAGTCTCACCTCGCAGGTGGATTTTGGCCGGCCGTTGATGATTTCACCACACCCGACAGCTATAGGTACACCCAAACAAAAAAAATGCAGTGTTGACAGTACCATACACATCAAAACACCAGGTGTGGGAAGAGAAGCAGAAAAATTGAATCCATATAAAACCCGAGGCTCGTCGGCTATGGATGTACCCGCCCGCCTAAAAGAAGAAGAAGAAAGAATCGGAAGAAGTGAAGAAGTGAAGAAGTGCCGTGACCCGTGCATGCCTTTTTGAAGAAGTGAATAATGCGCGCCTCCAGTTCCAGATCTTCTGGAAAGGCGTCAAGCTAGGAGGAGAAATCCATGCCTCTCGCTCTTTGAAATCGAAATCATCGACGGCAATCTGAAGCCGCCGTCGAGTGCTCTCCCTGCTTTTCCCGCCCCCCGCGCTGTTTCCAGTCACGAGGATAAGAAAGGCCGAGAGCCATGGCCGAAGAATAACGTGGCGGAATGAATCCAATAGAAGCGAAAAATTCGGAAGAAAATGTCGTACTCATGCATCTCGTTTCGCGAAATTTCGCCGTGATGGTATGGCTGAAACAAGTCGTAAAATTGGCCCGAGCCAAATTTCAATCAGTGCTGCCTGTCGCATGGCTGCTGATCCTGCGACCCCACGCGTCCGTCTCGTCCGTTCACTCCTCACAACGGCGATCGTCGTCGCTCCTCGCCCTGCCCTTGATAAGCTTCCGTTGGCGTCGGCCCGTACTGAGCTGCGTGTGATGGCTCTTCGGACAACAAGGATGATACCGAATGTCCACCAACACTCCTTGGTGCTTGCTGCTGTTGCTGTTGTTGAGCAGAAACCGAACTGGCGCTACCGTATTCCGGGGCCGTGCTGAAGCTTGCGACTTGAGGAGACATGCCTCGAGGCGTCCCGAAACTCTCACCTCGGCCACGACCTGTCGGCCGATACGACGAAAGATCGCTGCGCTGTCGTGTGTGCCCCCGTCTTCGCCCCGGCGGGGGGTTCTCAAGCGTTGATCCACCGTGGAAAGGAGGCGACCGCAAGCGTTGATGCTGACTTGGCGGTGGAGGGGCTGGCTGCGGGCCTGTGGCCTTGCGCTTGTTCCTAGGAGACTCCCCTAACGGCCACACCAGCCAAGGTTAGCCTAAAGCGACTCTCTCTTTCGTTTGGTTTTGCTGGACGCACCGGAGGGTGTCGCAGGCTGAGTAGAGCCACCTCCGGCTTGGGATGTCGGGGGGTGCCAGTGGTGAAAGTAGATGGACGGGCTCGGCTGGGCCTCTTGTTGAGACTGCGCAGACTGCGCTGCTGCGTGCTGGTGGCTCTGCAGTGCCGACGGGCCTGGTGGGCCAGAGTGAGGGACGTTCGTGTTGAGGCTGGGAAGGTTGCTAGATCCCAGTGGCCGGGACACCGAGCCAGTCGAGGACAAAGTTGTTGCCCTTCCCCGCTGGGGAGAACCCGGGTAGGCGGGGAATCCGTGAGGTCCGGGGGCGGAGCTCGGCGTCGAAGGGACGCCCGCATATTGACCGTAGGGCTGGGACTGAGAATCGCGGCGATGCTCAGGAGAAAGAGGCCCTTGAGACGGCAGCAGCTGGGGGTGCTGAGGCTGTCCCTGCTGAGCGAGAAATTGCTGTGCCCATTCCAAAGCCGCAGGAGGAACACCGCCTCCCATTCCGGCAAAGACAAGAGGAACGATGGGCGGGGGGATTCCGCCGCTCAACGAGGTTCGTAGCATGTCGGCCTCGATGCGACGTTGCTCTAGGCGCAGAGTCTCTTGCCTTGTCTTCTCTTCCTCCTGTCTCCTGCGCTCCTCTTCTGTCTTTGCTGCCAGCCAGCTCCTCATGGAATCTTCGGCGCCTTGCCACTGCGGCGGCGGTCCGGGCAGCTGACCCATCAGGTGGCCATGGCTAGATTGAGCTTGGCCGATGGATTGGGGCGCGGGAGGAGGTGGCGGAGGAGGAGCCGAGCTTGCGTGAGGCGGCTGGGGCGGCAAAGTCATGGCCGCCGGGGGAGGCAGGCCACGATGATGTGCCGACATAGGCTGGCCAGCTGGACTGTGACTACGGGGAATGGACGGCAGCAACTTGTGCGAAGGGTGGTCTTGGTAAGCCAAGGGAGGCGAGGGTCGGGATATCGAGGGCGGAGTAGGTAGGTCATGGACGGACTTGTAGCCGTAGTGTGTTGGCTGCTTAACTGTGAGCATGGTCATGTATACTCATGTGCTCCAGGTGTTTTCAAAAGTTGTTGAAGGTGAAATCAGACAACATGGGTGGCTGATTTTGTTTCTGGGGTTGATGTGTGTTTTTGTGTTTTGTTCCCTCGGGTTTTTGTGTATAGAATCGTGTCGAGCCAAGAAAGTGAAGCTGAAGCTCAAGCTGCTGGTGAAGAAGAAGAAGGCAGCGAGCAGTCGGAGAAGAAATTGAGACAAAGGGGAGTTTGAAGGAAGGTCAAGAAGTGGAAAAGTGAGGAAAAAAGCTGCTGGCTGGCCAGTCAAGATGAAGATGGGTGGAAGGAAGACAGGTGAAGAAAGGTTGAAGAAAAAACCCGAGGCGAGAGGTGAGGTAAAAGGTAGGAAAGAACAAATGAAGGTATGGGGGGGTGCAGGTGGTGGAAATAACCTTTTTTACAGGCGCGAAGCTGGAAGGGCGGCCAGCTCCAAGTTGGGAAAGAGACTTGGGTTGGACTGGGAAGGGAAAGGGACAGACACCACCACCTCACAGACACCACACGCCATAAGGTACTCCGTACTCCGTACCGAGGAGTACTATGTACTTACATACACACCTACCTTCACCTGCCCTGGACACCTCTCTTTCCATTTCACGCCCGAGACGGTGGTACGTATTTTTCTCAGACTCCCACCCACCAGCACCAGCACCAGCACAAGCGGCAACACCAGCAGCTTCTACCCGCAAGGCAGGCACATACCTACTGCGTAGGTAGTAGTCTGAGGCACGGAGTACCTCACTTTCCTTTCCCAAAGGACGTGAGGGACCCAGAGACCCAGAGACCCAGACCCAGACCCAGACCCAGACCCAGACCCGAGCCCCAGGGCCTAGAGAGAGAATGAGAGGCAACTCCGTGCCCAGCTGGGACTAGTAAGGTACGGCAGCTTGCAAGGTTGAAGGAACAGACCAGCTAGCAACGATGCCGTTGTACGGATAGGTGTGTACGAATACTTAGTGGATAGCGAGGGAATAGCGAGCCCAGGTCAAGGAAAGCAGAGGTATCACATACCATGGCACGCGAGGGCTCTTCGTCCATCGTCCTCGCCCTCGTCTCTCCCAGTCTCAGATACCTTACCTCACAATCCTGTACTGTATCCATCCATATCGGGATTCGTAGTACAGACAAGGGCGGGGCGTACGGTGATGAACCCAGCTCCATGAACGGGCCCAGCCTCATTTAGACATGAAGACGTTTTTAGTGCCGACCACGTAAGGCAAGATTGGGAAGGGCTGAGAGTGCTGTTCTGGGTTGGCACAGCAAGCAAGGCTGATGGACGGACAACTCGCATCGTGGAATCGATGTACGGATACAGATACGGAGTATCCGTACGTACTCGAGGCGGGATCACAGTCTAGGCTAACCCAGAACTTGAAGGTGACACTGACCCCCAACGTCTCTTCCTTTTGACCTGTACCGTAGATCTCCGGAGCCTCGAAACCTCCACGGAAGGATATGGTATGAATCAAAGCGCCAGGTGCTGACGATGTGCCGATGCATCGCTGGAGTAGTAACGAGAGCAAGGGCGCAACTGTGGGTATTGTAATATGTGGTTTCTGGGAGGATGAGGATGGATCATGGTCATGGTCGTGGAGGTGGGCAGGCAAGCAGGCAGGCAGGCATTGAACGGCTTCTGTTCTTTGGGAATCCGCGGGCCCACGAGCGGGAAGGGTGACGGGGGTGTGTCCTGTAAAAGTATGATGTGCAAGTGCCTGAATATGGAAATCTGCAGTGTGTGTGTGTGTGTGTGTGGTGTAAGTTCCTCCTCTCAACAGAGTACACTACATATTAGTAGTGTAGTCCGCCGTGTGTGCGCGTGTCTGTCTCCCTTTTTCGCCATTTCACCATTTTCCTTTCCCAAGGAACCCCGGCCGGGGGTTGCAGGTGCGGATACTGATGCAGATGCAGATGCTGGATGGAGACGCGGGAAAGGAGATGAACCACTCCAGCAAGGCCCGACTGATTCGACGAGGCGTGCAGGAATCATAGTATGGATGCCCAGGTCCATCCAAGGCTGTACATAGTAGAGTTTCTACGGATACTCAGGAGGCACCCAGGAAGTCTCCAACTCTCCTGGCAAATTTGAATCGCAAGCACCACCCACAAAGTGATAAGTGCGGATAGTAGGGGAAAGCAAAGGACAGAGAGAGGCATACGAGTCTAGGAGATGGCCCGGCCGTTTACGGATAGTTCAGGATAAGGCTCGGTGCGGAATGGATGGTGGTCAAGGTGCGTTGCCCGTGGTGGAGAATGACAGTGAGCCTGGTTTATTTCATTTACAACCAGCGCGTATCAGAAGAGATGACACATGGAGGGGGATGAGCACAGGGGGGTGCGCGTTGTTTGTGTCCAAGCCCAGCTCAGTCCAGTCCGCGGTCCCAGCCCACAGATCAAGTGGCGCGAGGGGGTGTCTGCACGCCCACGCCCACAGGGACTCCTCCCACTCCCAGAACCCCGGCAAGGGCCAAGGGGGGTGGTGATGGGGATATCAGGGGGGGTGTAAACCCGGGAACTGTGGCGAAGGCGGCTAGTCAGCATTGGGCCAAGATGGGGAAATCCCACACTGGCGTAGAATCAGACTTCAAGATGAACTGACGGCAGAGGCGAACGAGGAATGAGGAATGAGGAACGAGGGATGTGGGATGTGGATGTGGGTGTGCTGTCTGTGGATGCTAGATGCCAGAAGGCCAGGATGCCGGATGATGGATGCTGCAGCAAAGACAGTTGGAAATCGGAAGTTGGGGGCGAGAAGTGATGTAAGAAAATCTACCGATCCCTCTCCCAGGACCAGAAAAGGCTGCATGGTGGTTGGGCTTGGAGTCGCCATTGTCGAGGATCCCAACGTCTTTGAACCGGCCATTACCTATTCCCAGTCAACCTTGAGTTATGTTTTGTATCAGTACTTGCTGCGCCAGTATTGGCTTCGTGTTACTGTCAGCTACAAGTAGAAGTTTCAACCCAATCATCACCACAGCTCTAGGGACTGTGCCGTGACCCAACACCTACGGCTTGTGTATCCGAAAGAAATAGATGGAGAAAAATCAACCGCAACCGCATACCTACAGTATCCGTACTAGGCTCTAATACGAGCTAAAGAGCAAGAGCGGGGGTTTGACTGCGGTATCGTCGAAGCGAGACGAGAACAAGAGGAGACCAGTATCCGGTGACAAGGCGCAAGCCACCCTCACTGACAGGATGCGCACGACACGCAAGACAATGCATGAGCAGCGCTGCGTATGGCCATCAAGGGGGTGACAAGCCGGCTCGAGTGAGCGTAGGGCAGGACGAGCCGGGACATGAGAATTTCGGACCTTGGCCTTGATATTGCCGTCCATTTGCTGAATGGTGACGCTGCCACCGCGGATGAGGCTGCTGCAGCTATTCCCTCTTCTGACTGCGCAAATTGTTTCTTGCTTGCATCGCACACAGTCATCTTTGTCCCCTGGCCCTTTGATAATTCTCCGCGCCTTCATGCTTGGCATGCAGCTTTGTGACCTGATTATGTATAGAGACTCCGCCATGAGCTGCCGTCGGTGGGTAAGCATTGTAGCTTCGCCTAGCTTCCCAAAGTGGGTAGGTGATTGAGGGGTGTCGTCGTCGGGAAACCGTGTACGCGTGCGAGTGCCGTCGTGTTCTGTTTGAATGCAGTTCAACATCCGTCGCCAGCAGGGATAGCCTGGTACGCATCTTTGAGGCAGCAGACAGATGCAGAAGTGTGTGAGCAGAGTTCGACCAGAGGCGCAGGGTCGATCCTGATGGTGACTTGACGACACCATCACCCGTAAGACAGAAGGAAAGAAAGAGGAGAAGACGCCAAAGCGCGGGGAAGGTTGACAGAGAGAGAGAGAGAGAGAGAGAGAGAGAGAGACAACGAGGTCGATATCAGGAAGCTCGGGGACAATACCTAGGTACAAGTCCCCAAAGCTTGATATCAACCGTTTTTGGCCTGGGTCATATCTTACTCAAGGCCTCAGCTAGACTCTGCACCTTGGTTTCTCGCCTTTGAATTCTCAGGCTCGATACGTACACTAACGAGATGGAGCTGGGCGGGGTTGTGGCCGCAGGTCAGCTGAGAAAGCGAGTTCGAGCGAGTTCGCTCACAAAGCTATCAGTTCAGAGATACTGATTGGACGCTTTCGCTGCAGACGCGAATGGGACGCGATGCGGTCTCGTGCTGAAGCAGACAAGAACAAGGATACATCTCCTAGCCGTGCTGATGTTTTGTCTAGCCCCCTCCTGTCTCGTCTGGGGGTTTGCTGGCGCGTGTTCGAACATGGAAGCCGCCTCATGGAGGAACCATAACTCTTTCGGGGTTTCTGTGATGATATGTAGTATTTACTAAGCTTCTTTTTGTCTTCATTTAGCAGCAGCTCACAGCCCTCATCTACCGATTATGGGACTAGGTGATACGTAAGATAGCTAAGGTATCGTAAGCCCAGCCAAGCAGGGATATACATACGCACCTTGACTGCTGAAAGCGAGTTGATCGATGGATGGGATGCCGAGCCCAAGAGTAGGTCTTGAGTTCAGCGCAGAGCTCCTACTCCCAACACTTGCCTTTTCGCGTCTGCTCCATGTAATCGTCATCCTTGACCGTAGCAGCAAAGTTTCTGGCAGACGAAAAACAATGAGGTATTGTTACTGTAGCCTTCAATAAACAGACTCGAGCCCTGCAGCAGCACCAGCGCAACAGGTTGGAGTGGAGTTGGCTGTCCGTAGTCAAAGGGGGATTCAAAAGAGGCCAGCCACAGTTGATGGTTCAAGAATCAGCGGAGAGCTGGAGAAGAGGGTGTGAAGGTGCCATAAGGGGTGTGTGTGGATTTCTTTGGTTTGACGAGGTATTAAAAAACGGGCTGTCGTTGCTGGTGTGAGAGGAGGCCACCGGGGGCGAGGCCATGGGAACGAAGAAGATGGGAGTGGGTGTTCGTAGTTGGCAGAAAGAAAACGGGACAAGGTGCCTTAGACGCCTCAGTGAGGTACGTAATTGGCGAAGACGTACCGAGCTCTCAAGGGACGGGCGGCGTGTGCGTCCGAAGGATTCTGGATGCTCGGGAGATACCTGGACACGTTACATCGGTACGTATCTACGCCTGTGCGCCATCTCTCCCCTAGCTTGCTGCGAAAGTTGGCAGGCAAATACATTGGCACGAAACCGCGAAAAATGCCTTGTAGATTTTGGATAGTAGGTAGAGTATTGCCCAAGTTAAGAAGATTTGTGTATTTCAAGCTGCCTTCAGATGGAATGTATTCTCTGCTATCTGCGCCTGCTTCTCATAGCTCCATTATCTCCCAGTGTATGTGATGAGCATTGCTTTTGAAAATCAGCATTGAGCCAGATGTTAGTCTGACGTTGACAACCAACAACCTGTCAGCTGAATGGAAAACCAGGCATTCTGTTCCGTAAGCTTATGAGATCATTATGGAGATTAGCCAATGTCAATGTTTGTTGGCATTCGAAGGCACGGCAATGTCCGCGCATGGTAGATCGTTTGGTTCGGTTAGCCGTGTGACAGACAATGGTAGCCAGAGAAGGCACGATCCGTCACATA